ACTTTTGCGTGGAAATATTCCAGTTTTAATTCGTATTTTATTATTATTTATTATTATGTTATTATTATTTATTATTATTTATTATTATTTATTATTATTATTATTTTCAGATGTTTTAAACGATATTTTTCGATATTTTTCTCCATAATATCATTTAAATGATTCAAAATTTTGGAATTCAATCGGAATTCAAACAATTTTTATCGAATACACACAAACAAATGCAAAAAATATGAACAAACCACAAATCACTCGATTAAAGTAATGTAAACACATAAAGTAATACAACGCTAGCGTATATGAGTAATACATTGTTAAACTGATCAGTAACCTTATCAGTCCTTATCACTCCTTATCACCTTATCAGTGGAGCGATTATCAGTAAGAGTCCCGGATGGAGTTAATTTTTAGTGTTGTTATTATTGTTGTTATTATCAATCAAAGTAGAAAAATATGACTAAGTAGGAAATAAACAAAGTAGATGAGTAATAAGTGATCAGAGAGCAATATTTTTAGGATTTGATCATTTTCGATTCTTAGTCGGCTTGGTCTTGTGATAAAGTGATAAGGTGATAAACTGATAAGGTGATAAGCGGATAAGGTGATAATCGGATAAAGTGATAAGGTGATAAGATCAGTAAATTGGCAGTGTCACTAGTGAAGGACTGACATTACAGCAACCACAATAAACTGATAAGGTGATAAGATGATAATCGGATAAAGTGATAAACTGATAAGGTGATAAGGCGATAAAGGGATAAACTGATAAGGTGATAAAGTGATAAGATCAATTAATTGGCAGTTTCACTAATGAGGGGCTGACATTACAGCACGCACATATAGTAGTAGTAGTAGTAAGAGTAATACATAGGTATGGTACAAGGATGAGTATGAGAGTAACATTTAATGAAAAAATACATAAATATTTTAGAATATATTCTCAATTTTGAAGAGGGGATGACCTGAAATTGAGGGGGTCATCTGAATTTTTTTGGGAGACCTGAAATTTGAGGGGGGTATAGAGGTGATATCCTGAAATATTTCACAGGGGGAGTGGTAATCCAATTCTAGGAGGGGATTTTTTTACACAAGGTGTGGCTAGCTAGCTAGTAGTGAAATTTTGAATTTGAGGAGGATAAGTTGAATTTTTTTCGGTCGAAGAGGGGGGTAACCTGAAATTGTGGAACTTTTAATATTTCTGGGTTCACACTACAACGTACAAAGTGCAAACTACAAACTCCAAACTACGAACTACGCGCCTCGTTGTCCAATCGATTCATCAGATCATGCCAAAAGCAGCGTTTCATGCTGTCAAATCGATCATAACAACTCACGTAACTCACGTCCAACTGCGTCACATTCCCAGGTCTCTGATCACAGAACACCAGACATTTCGATCCGGCCAGCGTCGTGGTTACACCTTTAAAATGAATTTCTACCGTAATTTGTACCGTACCCTAACATATAGTACTGTATTCTACCGTATCATACCGTATTCTTTAGCCATTTCGTACCGTATCGTACTGTATCCTACCGTATCGTACAGTACTGTCATACCGTATTCTTTGATCATACCATACCGTACCGTATCGCACTGCATTCTACCGTAGCATACCGTATTGTCATACCGTACTCTTTGGTCATACCCTACCGTACTGTGTCGTACTGCATTCTATCGTAGCATACCCGACTGTGTTCTACCGTATCCTACCACCTATCATACCGTATTCTTTGGTAATACCCTACTGTACTGTATTCTACCGTACCATACCGTACTATGTTCTACCGTATCTTATCATAACGCATTGTATTCTACCGTATCGTACCTGCCGTCTATCCTACCATATTCTTCGTTATTACCCTACCGTATCGTACTGTATTCTACCGTATCGTACAGTACTGTCATACCGTATCCTTTTGTCATACTGTGCCCTACCGTACTACCTACCGTATCTACCGTATCCTGCCGTATTTTTTAATGTTTCTTTGGAAGTCACCAACCGTTTCGTGCGCAGCACTCTCGATGATCACGTCCTTGCGCTGCACAGAACTGAATTTCGGCTGAGGCTTGCACTGGACACGCGTCTTGCTTCAGATACATTCTGAGTAGCTGGAATTTGATGAGGACTGATAAGACTGATAAGAGTGATAAGGCTGATAAGAGTGATAAGGTGATAAGACTGATAAAGTGATAAGAGTTATGATAATTTACTGATTGCTTCGTGAACGTATTGAATGTACACTTTTGAAGGCANAACACCCAAATGTCCTCTTTTCTGGTTTGCAGCCTTATGGTAAAAAAATTACCTCGGTAAACTGGTTAAAAAACCCGCTGGGAACCCGCTGGGAACCCACTGGTAAAAAAATTACCTTAGGTTTTTCCTCCTCTTCAGTCGTCGACCAACCTTGTTGACCTGCAGCCACCATCGTGTTCGAGCTACGAGCCCGGGCACGGCGTAGGGCGCAGCCGTAGGGACCGCACTGGTAGCCCGGTGGGCAGCCCCCGGCCGCACACATCCCCATTGTGGGTTGGGCGTGCATACAGCCGAGGCCACCTAGACCCGGCGGACCGCAAATACCACTGGCTAGGCACTGAAATTTGATAAAAAATTTGATAAAATTTGAAAAATTTTGAAGAATTATGGTACCATAACTGGGCAGAAGTTATTTGAGGACCAATTCAGGTTTATAGAACCATATTTCAGGTTATTTTTTTAAAAAATGTGACCATATAGGAATGTGGCTTACCGCTTCAGTTTCTGCAGTGAAATAAGCGGCCAAAATCAGTAAATAACACGCCAACGGTAACTCCGGCATAAAGCTTCTAGACTCCATAATTCAGTTGATTTGTCGAAGCGCGTAACCTGAAATTCGGTACCTCTGACCTGAAATCCAGACACGAGTTGAGCTCACACGCACACCTCAAAGCCCAACCAAGTCTATTTGCTCAACTGAACTGCCTCCATGAATGGAGTGTCGTCATTTAAATGGCTCTATAAAATAACGAGGTCATCCGCAGATCAACCGCCCAGATCATGGCCGATTAGATTGATCGGATTGATCGGCCATGATCTGATCACATTTCACTTTTCCAATACAAACATCAGATCATCTCTGATCAGTAATAAAACTCGCGCAAATCCATCGAAACTAGGTTAATCTCCTCGATATATTTTCGATTTCAAAAATTTTCCGCTGGTCAGTTTTTATCAAAAACTATTTTATCACAACAGCAATTTTAACAAAAAAGTAATTGAAGTAAAGTAATAAAAGTAAGTAAAGTAAATAAGTAAGTAAGTAATAATAAGTAAGTAAGTAAAGAGTAAAGTAATAGTAAAAGTAAAAGTAATGTCAAATCTAAATGAAATGCATAGGAATTGATAGTTTTGTTATGCTGACAAACGCCTAAAAGTTGAGTCGTAATTGCAGTCAAAAGTAATCTATAGAGTAACTAATACAGTAACTTGTACAGTAACTAATAAAGTAACTAGTAAAGTAACTTGTACAGTAACTAATACAGTAATTAATACAATAACTAGTAAAGTAACTTGTACAGTAACTAGTAAAGTAACTAGTACAGTAACTAATGCAGTAACAAATACAGTCTAAATACAAAACTCTGACTACTGCCTATAAAAGTAAACCCAAAATTTGACACAAGTCCGGCAAATGACCATATTAGTTTATAACTTTCCATTTCATCCGATAGAGAGCTGCTTTTATAGGTCTCTCTCTCCTTTTACAGCTACCTACCCACCCTCGGTCCAACCCCTTCTTTAATCTTTTGAATGTTTATGAATCACTCACAAACGGGGCGGATCACATTTGTAAGTGATTTTATAAAATTTAGTATCGTTTAAACGATTTGAAAGTTAATTAGTAAGAGAAATTAAGAATTTCAATATTATAGAATAAAATTTGAGAGGAGAGCAGAGATATGGAAGTGGATCATGCAAAATGGATCATGGAAAAGTGTATGGATCATNATACAGTAACTAGTACAGTAACTAGTAAAGTAACTAGTACAGTAACTAATGCAGTAACAAATACAGTCTAAATACAAAACTCTGACTACTGCCTATAAA